TTCTCCGAAACTTCCGCCTACGCCATTCACGTGGTCAACGCCACTGCAACGTTGCCGTGACCCACACCCACAGTACCCGCAACGCAAATTACTGAAGGTTGATTAGGAAAAAAAAAGGTGTTTATATTTATAATAGTTATTTCAACGCTTCTAGCAAGGAAACGAGCGAAAAGAAAATAAGTAAAAGAAAAAATTATCTCCCGTTGCGCGCTGCTCCTGCTCCTCGACCTTGCACGACCTTGAACGAACGGACGACGGCTAAGTGCACGAACAACAGACCAACTATTTATTTACCTATTACTTGTTTTTTATTCCTTTGGCACTTGAAACACCTGCCCTGTGTCAAAAGGGAATATGAACACTCAATCACTCACGCACTCACTCACTCACTCACTCACTCACTTATTTACTTACTGAGGAAAAACTAAATTTATCCTTTATTTTTTGGTGGTGCTCAGAACGCCTGCTGGATGTTAAAATAAAATATAAATACCTAATTTGCTTACTAGTTGGAGTTAAGAATAAAACGAATTACCACCCAAGCCCGGTTTCAAAAAAAGTAACATTTCAACCCGGCTGCTATTCCCTCTCATTCCCATAATTTTGTCCAGCCGGACAGGATATATGGTGGCCTTTTTAAGGACTGACGCTTTGCAGTGAAAGATTTATTTTTCTCTCGTACCTTGGTTGTAGCCACCAATCAGATAACCTCCTCCTAGTTATTTATACCCGCTTGAAGTCCATTTCCCTCCCTGTCCCTAAAACCCGTGCTTTGGAAAACTCTGCTGATGCCATTTACAGAACATTATCAAGTGTTCAGCAGTTTCCTCCTCCTCTCCACACTCACTGCATACCGTCTGAAAACTCTTATAAATTAGTACAACTTAGCGCAACCTTAATCTTCCGCTGAGTTTTCACTTACAAACTTGTCGTAGATATTTGCAACAGTTTATTTGCTTACAATTTCTCACGAAACCGATACCGAAACACTTAGGCTTGCTGAACTGCATTCTTGGACCATGCATACTTGCTCTATCGATGTTTCGAGCAGGATGTTTTCCCTTTTGGGGGGATTTTTCAGCAGTCTTTTGGACAAACGTAAATATATGTAATGTGGAATTTCTGAAACTGATAACAGACACATAGAGGGCTATTGTGATGATAATGAAGAGGTGCATGAAGGACACAGTTTTAACACGCACACATGCACAGCTCTTACAGCTTCTCATACCTCTCGTGCCATCACGTCGTTACAATCTTTAGTTTCGTCTCAGCTGAACTATCTGAAATTATTATGATTCCTAGGGTCAATGTGGGCTAAAATTAAATGAAATGTCCGATGATTAGCTCGCACATCGCAGATCTCCCAATGGTTCACGTTCTTCATGGTAGAATACTTCATGCACCGCGATCAGGTATAAAAGATCAGCTATTCACACAGATCGGATGGAAGCAATAACCACGTGGACGGAATCTAAGCATCTAAAATTTTCATTGATGCAGTGGAGCCAATCTCGGCAATCAGGCGATGATCACTAGATGTCGATGTCGTTTAAACTTATACTTGCACAGGGCTGGTCTGACTATATCCCCCTCTGCCAATTCTGCGGAGAACTAGAAAATATTGAACGTTACCTTTTCTCATGCCTAAGGCATTATCGTATTAAAACTCGATTTTTCATTACTCCTCTTTCAAAAATGGGCTTAACCATGTCAGTGCAAAATGGTTTAGGCTTCTGTGCCTCAGTCTGGGGATACTGTCACAGAGAGGCCTTTCACACCATGTGTAATTTCACTAGAGCTACTCGACGAGTACTTTAATCTAGTATTTAAAATTCATCGTCATTCCAGCAAGATAAAACCTAACTATATATAAGTTCTTCAAAATTCCTCCCAGCATCTTTATACGGCAGTCTGGAATAGAATCTCACATGTACATCACTTGTACTTTATATTGAATGTATTATGTACGTATTAATGTCATTTCATTATTTTTTTAAACCACCTACTATTCTTAAAATACCATTTAAAGGTCTCAACGTCGCATTCTTGGCCAATCCCTCAAAGTGGTTACGTGTCATATATCGTAGGAAAACAAACAAACAAGCATGAAAGTGGCGCATACACAACTTCTGTATGTGATTGTACCAATAATCTTTCTTCATTTGATTCTGGCGTATCCGGCTCGCAAAGGCAGCCGTAAACATGTCTTACACAAGCTTGTACAGGTCGGCTAAGAAATGGGAGATCACTCAGACTCACTCAACATATATTTCGCTCTAAAGACTCAGTCGTACATAGGCTTACCAAAATTTGGCTCGACTGGACTGACTCAGACTCACTGCACTTATTCTTGACTGGACTGACTCGATCGGACTCAAACTCACCATCGTATTACTCAGCCGGACTCAATCGGACTCGAAACTCACGGCTTCACCCGAGTCTCAGTGAGTCTGGGCAAGTCGACTGAGTCCGTTTGCATAAAATTATATGTTGCAATCTTGGTGTAAATGCTCTCGCACTCTGTTCTAGGTACGCCTTGCACCTGCGAATACCAGTTATCATCTGTGGTTTCAATCCAGTAAGGGTATATTTCGTAAAATACGCGATCCACACGAGAGATCAAGAACTCCAACTTAAGGGGAGGTCATGGCGCCTCCCCCACCCCTAACTCAAGTCTTAAATTGTTCGCATCAACAAATAATAACGATAACGCACTGAAAAAAAAAAAAGACGCGTAGAAACTTAAAGGGCTGGTGCCACGTACCGTATTTGTGGCTTGCATGTTCTTTATTTGCTGCAATATAAGCCTTCTTTGTAGTTTCAAGAAGTGTGATACGCGCTCCAGGATTCATTTATTGTCACTAAATAATTTATTATCGTCTTATTTATGTAGGCATTTTAGGTTTCGATTTATGAATGCCAAGTTGGGCAGTTTCGTAGTTGTGTCTGTTTTAGCCACTATAAGGTCCATTAGATTCTTTGGCCGCAAATAACATGCACACAAAGTAAAGAAACACTCAACGACAAGCACAAGCGGCTTGAGTGTTTCTTCACTTTGTGTGTGTGTGTTATTTGCGGCCAAAGCATGTCATCAAGCAAGTACCAACTAGGCCAACAATCAGTATTGTTACCATTAGATTCAGCCTACACTTCCAGAACTAGTTCACGGTGGCGCCGTCGTGGTGTCGTCTTCGTGCAAGTGACGTTTCAGCAAGTGCAGCAGCAACGAGACACGGTAACGAATACGAGAGTGCAGATGTCGTGCAAGCCCTAAGCTACACGTCGGTTGTCTCGAGGGTTGTGGAGGCTGTGATTCGTAAAAAAACGGCGTCGCGCTTACGTTGTTTGGCATGTGTCTACCGGAAAATGTTCAACGCTGTACTTGTTGCACGTCACTAAAACAGAAACGAATGCAATCGGCTGTGTCGTGTGCTGCAGCTGCAGCCATCCTGTGCTGCACGGACTCGGCACTTGGTCCGTTCGATTCGCCTGCCCCACGTGAATCAGTTCACGAGGTGCTGCACCTTGCCATTCGTTTCAGTGGTGCAGCCATGACGACCTCAGAGCCCTGTCATTCATTTCGAAAGGTGCAGGAGAGGTGCAGCACTGGTTCACGATTTTCCTGCATCTCCTGCGCTGACGGTGCCGGCTTGGTGCAGCCGCACGTGCAGCTTAGCACCACCTATACTAACACGGAGCGTTTTGCCTAGATGTTTGAGCCTCATAAACTGTCCGCATGTGCCATTCGCCATCGGTCAGTGTTAGCCGAACGGTGTAAATTAAGCGAATAGAAATAAGGCCTGCACCTTGTAGGTGCATCGTCATTCGTTTCGGGTGTCATGCTGCGCCTGCGTCGCTGAACTCACGCTGCACAATTTCTGAACTTCGCCTGCACAGTCGTGAACCGGTTCCGACTGGTGCAGGTGAATCGAAGAGACCCACTACCTCACGAGCAGGTGCAGAGAATTCGTGAACTAGCCTTGCACGACAGCAGCACTTTTTCGAAACGAATACTGTGGTGCCGCTGGCGCCATGTTGAACTCGTGAAACGAATGCCGAAGGGGAGCGCCTCCATGAACCAGTTCAGGAAGTGCAGGTGAAACGAATATTAAGGAACTAGCGCCCCATAGCGGGCGAGCACCTATAAGACCACGTGAGCTGCGGAGGCGCTAAACGCGCAGTGTTCCTATTGGGGGACCGCACGTGTGGGAGCCCGACAAAGGAGTGAGAGGGCCGAGGAACGACAGCCCTTGTCGGGCGCCAGTCGTGGCAATGTGTGTACCCCACGTATTACTGCGACGTCGACAATACTCGCTCTTCTTGTGGAATGTCACGAGGGGTCTTTGTCTGTGTCATACTATGGCGATGTTGCGATGTGCTGAAAACTCAGATGAGCACACACGCTCACTTCAAAATTGAAGTAAAACATTTTAAAAGGCAACATTGGTTAATCATAGCCGGTCAGAAGTGCACATGCATGCTGGATTATCAAACAGCACAAGCATCTCGGGTTTCCGAATTCGGTGTTAGAGGTCCTGTAAGTGTGAGTTTACTTACCTCCTGTTTTATGTAGTGATAACAATTGATGTCATCAATAGGCAGTCAGCAGACTAATTTGGGCTAGAAGTTAGATTTAGGTGTACGGTAAAAAACCCCAAGCGGTCAATTTTTCCGGGGCCCTCCACTGCGTCCCTCATATACATATCATGGTTTTGGAACGTTGAACCCCAGATAGTATTATAATTAATTTAGATTTATTTCCTACAAACGATCGCTTCCGTTATTGAAGTCCCACTCTGGCAAATAAAAGTGCATAGATGAATGACTTAGTTTAGCTTCTCTTTGTCAATGTATATGAAAAAACAACAAAGATAGATAGATAGATAGATAGATAGATAGATAGATAGATAGATAGATAGATAGATAGATAGATAGATAGAGAGAGATAGAGAGAGAGAGAGAGAGAGAGAGAGAATCTGGACGAGAAGACACGCGCGACCCAGGAACCACTCAGTTCAATGTACAAAGGCCTTGAGTACGGACAGAGCAGTGACTAGCACGGCGGCGATGTTCAGAGTCGAGGGAGAGCGCAACCTGCTGGCAGAGGTCGCGTTCTTGTCGGAGAAGTCCTGCTGGCAGAAGACGAAGAGGAAGTCGATGGCCGTCGTGTTGTAGGCACTGGTGGCCTCAGGCCGACACGAGGAAGAGCTGAGTGCTCGCACCAGGCATCGAGTGTGGCGCACCAAATCGCTGCAGTCTCGCTGCGTGGCGCGGAAACGAAAGATCCGTTTCCACGCCGTCGCCAGGTCGAAGTTGGCCGTTCGGCAATCGCCCGCGCCGTCAGACACGGAGCCGATGCAGTGGCCGTCGTAGAAGAGGTCTGCGCAAGCACACGTCAAGTTTATTTTGCAACAACAACAACAACAACAACAACAACAACAACAACAACAACAACAACAACAACAACAACAACAACAACAACAACAACAACAACAACAACAACAACAACAACAACAACAACAACAACAAACTAAGAAGACGGAAGGGCAAGAAACAAAAACCTGCACACCAGCAGCTTGATGCTTGATGGGGTTCGTGTACTGTTCGTTTGCAACCAGAATACATCATGTGTATAAACAAAAAAAAAATACAATAAATATTCTACACACTTCTATATCCACATATATATGCATTCACGACATCTGTGAATAACGCATGCACACAATCATATCCACTTCTGTTCACATACATTTGCATTCATGTACATTAGCATCTGCGTGAAAGCTTTAATAAAAAAATGTCATGCGCGGAATAATATAAACTAATTCATACGATTAAGCACAAAATGAAGCACAGAGGAAGCATTTGACTTTGACGAAAGGGCGCTCTTTTTAGCACATCTTGTCGTGCTGCAGTGGAAATAAATGAGTCAGTTAACTTTATTAGCGTTTTGAATTCGGCTGGTTGGAACGCGCCGAGCACGAATGAACAGCGCTAGAAGCATTGAGAAGAGAAAAGACAGACACGGCACAGCCTCACAACCATTTTCTTTCACCCCCCCCCCCCCCCCCCCTTAAAAAAGACGCATATCACCAAGAAATAAAAAAAAATTAGGACAGAACAGAAAGGGCGCCGGAAAGGGAGTTCTGTCCTTCCTTGATGGTACGCGTATTTTTGTATTTCAGTTTGCACCGAATTCGCCTGGGCGTCGCCTTCACTCGCCACTACGCCCACCTAATCAGCCGTGCGGACAGCCCGAATTGTGAACGCTGACAAGTGCGCAAAACGATAGCTCACATATTTTGTGACTGTGCATTATACGTGGCGCAAAGAAAAATGCTAACTGCAACGTTGGCAAGCATCGGACGAACACCATTAAGTGAAAGCCACATATTGTCAGCAATGAACGACCAAACAGTGTCAAAAACTGCTACAAAGGCTGTTCTAGACTCTATAAAAAGCACTGGACTAGAAACTAGGCTGTAGGGTACTATGCTAAGTGGCTACTGTACGTACGCACCATGGTGCACCTCTTCTTGTCCCCATCATCACCCTTCATCCCTATTTCCTTCCCCCTTCCCTTATCCCCTGTGTAGAGTAACAGGCTAGAGCGAACTAGCTCAGGCCGACCTCTCTGCCTCTAATAAATTCTCACTCACACTTGTATTTCAGTAAGCATGTATCAACTAGCCCAACAAAATGTTTTATCAAGTTGCATTTTTTTGTTGCGTTCATGCGTCAATAAAAAACAACAAGTATACTCATCAGGGAACAAGATATCACTGTAAATTAATAAAGACAATGCTTGCTAGCATGTTAGAGAGGAACAGTCTCAATTGACAGAAACGATTGACACAAGTGACCGGTTGCCGCAGTGGCAAGACTGCGTTACTCAGCTTGGCGTTTTTCCCGAGAGCACCGTTGTCGATAGTGTCAAGCACAATCCATCTTAAAGCAAAGGTGGCAGGCGGAAAGCACTCCAACAAGGAGCTTTTTCTGGGCAACTGCAATGAAGATACGGTTGCTGGCAACTTGAGCGAAAAAAAGAAACAAAAAAGAGGCAAGTTTGCATAACCACATCTTGCTATTGGCCTTGAGGACATAGCGTGGCGCCACCTACGTGGTGACAACACTCATAGGATGCCGGGTGGTGTTGTCTGCCAGAGGGCCGCTTTTCCTGCGCTTTTGCCAACACACGTTTTCGTTGCGGATACTGCGCCTATTTGAGGGGTATGACCTGATAATCCGGGCAAGCAAACTCCGAATTGGTTCCCCTGATGGCATCCCCGTGTCTAATTTTCACGGTAAAATGAACAAGCATTTTTTTTTTACATGAGGAGCATGTTATACTAAGGCTAGTCATGCGCCGTCACCGTCCGCAGCCTCCTCTCCTCCTCCGCCAGCCATCTGTGCATCCCTTCCTCCTCTCAACACAGCGCGTGCTGCGCTCGCTTCTCCCCTGTGCGCACCACGCGACCTTTAGTTTTACGTGCGTCAGCTGTATGTTCACGCGCGCACGCTCAGGCCGGGGCCGGCGCTCACTGTAAATAACCGAGTGTCGGGGCGCGTTGCCCTTCGTCGGTTGGTTTGTGCGGTCGCTCCACGTCCGATGTCGCTGGTGAAACTGCATGCTAACGAATCCGCAAACACACTTACTCACATCCCTTCCAATAGCGTCAGCCAATGCGTTGGCGGAATCGCAAACAATTCTGAAGACACATACGTGCGTGTGTGTTCACTCGTGTTCACTCATAACACACACGCATGTCGCAAATTACAAACCACATTTATCGCAGTTCAACATATATGCTCCGCATGCTAACCGATGTTCTCACTCGGGAAACTGCGGTCATTTTTTTCAGATTAGGGCTTTCGGATCATCCGGCAGCAAGATAAGCTGCTTTTCACCGGTCCACCGGCCACCCTAATTTTGGACAATGGAACACTTGGCAACCTCGCCACCGGGGTAACCGGGGTACTCGAGAACTAGGGGTGCCCCGCGTGTCACCATTTCGTGGCTTCGGACACCGTTGACTTGTACTAATCTTTTTTCGTCGGGACTGTACACGGTTTGTTTCGCACCGCGATTGCCAAGGCACACTGATCCAATTATCTGCATTCTTTCAAAATGCTTCAATCATCTTGCATTGGCGTTGTTCTATCGTAAGTGCATAGCAGATTGTAATCTTTCAGATGGGCTTTGCATTATCAACAGGACGACTACTCATTGAACCCCTGGTCATGTAAGCATGCTCTCGCATAGTTTTTCATTAATACCGCTTGGCTTGGTAACTCGTGGCCTGCGCTTAAAATTATTTATTTCACTTCAAGAGATGCAGAAAGAAACATTAACCAGTACGGATTAATTTCCAGCACAGTCTGGCGCGTTTTGTCCAGAAATTAGGAAATGCACTCTAGAAGGACATGCAGTTCGGTGGTCTAATTGATCCACCATGCTTACAAATAAACATGTGGCGAAAAATCAACACACGCACCCACACAGATAGAAAAAGAAAACACTCACAACCGTGGCTCGTTTCTCTTGAGCGTGTGTTCATGCACGCACGCGTGCGTGTGTGAGCGAATGCGCGTGGGCGTTCACGCAAGTGCGTGTAAGGTCGTGGCCGGGCGTCGAGCAAGCGCGCCTTCGTCATCTTAGAACAACGGGTCACCGTCCCGGTCGCCCTCCAGACTTACAAGGGTAGATAAGAGGGCCTCTCCACCGATCCTTGTCGAACTTCATGCATGAGTGTAACTTGTTCATTTATGTGTGATGAAGCAGCGTCGTTTTTACGTGCGTTTGTTATGCCGAAGGGCAGTCTTTCGAATAAAAAAAAATGCGTGTATGTTCATGCGTGTGGGTGTTCATTTTGAGCTGTATTTATTTGTAGCTAATAAAGTATACACCTGCACTGGTTGTCCTCGAACAGCTGTCAGAACGGCACCGCTTATAGCCGTGTGGGCTATGCCCGTGGCGTCCCATTCACAAAGGCAGGATGGCATGATGCATCGTCGTTTCTATATGAAATAATGACACATACTCACACATTCACTCTTATTTAACTGAAAATGTGCACTTTGGACTGAACGCAACAAAAAATCACAAATATGGCAGAACACGCGTGGTATAAAATTTATGTGAGTGGCTGCGCTGTGCAGACTTCAAGGGTATTCCCAAAGACAGCAAAGTAGTAATAAAAAAAAGTCACAGCTTTGCCGCAAAGGTGAAGCAATGAACGCGATAGGAACAAATTGGAAGGTCACGCGCAGAATGACGAGCAGATGGAAACATGCCCAGCGTTTCTCACGCGCAAATGACGCACAAAACGTACTCACAGGTTTAGATGAACGCGGATAAGCGTCTCAGTTGTTACTTTGCTGTGTCTGAAAATTGATTGATTTGTGGGGTTTAACGTCCCAAATCCACCATTTGATTATGAGAGACGCCGTAGTGGAGGGCTCCGGAAATTTTGACCACCTGGGGTTATTTAACGTGCACCCAAATCTGAGGCTGTGTCTGAAAAGCGCGCCCTTTCCGCAAACGGAGGCTGTGCAACGATTGCAGTGACCTTTGTGCGCTCCGTAACTACGACAGATTCGTTCCAGTGCAAGCCCAACGCGAGCCAAGACGTATGACCCTCCCCACCGGGAGATAAGGGCGCGCGCGAGATCGTCCACTCTCCTCCTCTCCGCGGGCCAAATTACGCGTGAGAGATAGGAGCCGCCGCGCACTCATTAAGCCATCTTTCTGATAATGCTGAAAAGACGATATGCCCACCAACAGCGGTAAGTGGTAGATATAAAGAGCTTGCCATTTGAACGTTGAAGGAGGTATACCTCTAGGTGGCTTAGTCTTCTTTTTTGCCTTACATATACCACGACTGTTCACATTTCCCATATTTACATATCGGCCAAAATACAAGTGTGTCACAAAATACACCCACAAAATTTATTGAGGTACCGTCAGCTCTTATCTGACTATTGATCTATACTTGGGCATTCGTAATAATGCCTCAATGCACACAATCCAGTCTTGTACATACTCTTGGCCCTTCAGCACTTCAAGAAAATGGCACACAGACTCGCAAAAATATTGGCGCACAGATAGCACTTCTACATCCGCGTTTTCAAAGGCACATAGGGTTTTCCATATACTGTGCAGGCCCAGAAGCATGATTAGATCACAAGGTACACCTGCCTCGTTTTTAACCGAAAGAAAACGGATGTCGTGTGGACTTAACGGTAATTCTTTTTTTTTCAAGTTTCTCTGCAATATGTTCCAGAAAAAAGACCCCGATCCAGAAATCTATAAACACGTGTTCAATTATTCCCGGATTACTACACAAGTGGCAGTGTGTACTCCATGGGCGAATATTCCCCTATCCTGCAACCACGTTTTAGCTGATAAGGTACCAGTATGTAATTTAAAAAATAACTTTTGAGCCCTGGCGCTACAAGAATTCTTTTAACGCGTTTCAGAACATCCTGTTCTGGGCTTGCACAATATAGATGACTGTACAATGGTACAGGCAGTAAAACATCGACAAGGTCTTTATAATTTTTTTTACGTGATGCTTCAGCCAAATACTCAAACAAAAATCTCACTGACAAAAAGTGGAAAGACGAAACAACTTCCTTTAAATACCCTTGCATTGGTCCTTGCACATTTGATGTCGATACGAGAAATCCCAGCGGCACTCTAGATAACCTTAGTTGTATAACAGTTGTCAAAAAAGGGTCATCTACATCACACAGAAAAAGGAAACGATTGACAAGTTGTCTTATGTACAAATGAGCTAATCCGAGCCCGCCATCTCTAACTTTTCTGAAGAGGTTTGTGCGGCTTGATCTTTCCCGGACAGAGCTCCAAATGAAAATTACAAATACTCCGTGTATTTTCTGTACATTTATTCTACTGCAGTGCGAAACCTGCATTACGTACCACAGCTTGCTCACAAGAAACAAGTTGCACGTTGTGGCCCGTGTGAATATCGAAATACCCCAACCTTTCCATTTTTCTACATCATTGAGCAATGTCTGTGTTTCTTTTTTTCAATACGGTTCACTGTCGTGATATAACTCCAGCGGCACTCCTAAATACTTCACAGGTGTTTCCTGCCATTTAATGTTTAGCAATCTTCTTCGTGTGACGCTCCATTCACCATGCCAGAAGCTAAGGCACTTATTCCAGTTCACGGCACTACCACACACCTGGCAAAAAATTTTCATGGCATTTACAGCAATCATACCCTCACAATTTGTACAGAAAACTGCAATGTCGTCTGCGTATGCAAGGAGGCTAATCTCCGCTTCATGCAAGTTAAAGCCGCTTATTGCACTTTTATTAATTACGCTTCAAAGAAAGGTTCAATAAAAATAGCAAAAAGCAGGGGCGATAGCGGGCACCCTTGCCTTACTGACCAGAGCACAGGTATACGCTCACTCGCAGTTTTGTTGGCTAACACCTCGCATTCACGACATGAAGGTCCCCTGTTCGATTCCGCACGCCAGAGTCGTTTTTTCTGGATTTTTTTTTCTTTCGTGCGTTTTCATATACGTGGATACGTATACATATACGGTGCATGACATCGACACCGGCGGCTTAATTCAGCCGAGAGTGACCATATAATTGCAATAAAACGAACGAAGCATTTAAAACGAAGACGAATAAGGAGACCACTCACTCTGCAGCGTGGTTCGGTTGTTGACGCAGAGCAGCTGGAAGGAGGAGACCATGGCCTTGATGAGGCGCTCGAAGTATTCCCGGCGAACCCCGCCCAGGTCGGCGCAGTTCAGGTAGTGGAATGCGTAGCACTCCAGCAGTTCGCCAAAACCTCTGCGACCAAGCCGCAAGGAGAGCGAAGTATATACACGCTATAACGGTTGGTGTCATCTGCCTCACGTTTAGTCAATCAATCAATCAATCAATCAATCAATCAATCAATCAATCAATCAATCAATCAATCAATCAATCAATCAATCAATCAATCAATCAATCAATCAATCAATCAATCAATCAAGCAATCAATCAATCAATCAGTCAACTGCAATAATAAATGCTGGAGCTTCACGTGCCAGAACCACGATATAATTATGAGAGGCACGGTGAAGGGGGGACTGCGGCCTCCTGAGCTTGGCCTCCCGGTCCCTGTGAGAGAGCGGCCCGCTGCGTGTTGAGACACGCTCTACAGGCCCTCAATAAAGTTTACCATACGGTAACATACGTTAGGTTCTTTGCGTGCACCTAAATCTAAACACGCGGGTGTGAAGATTTAGACACACACACACACACACACACACACACACACACACACATATATATATATATATATATATATATATATATATATATATATATATATATATATATATATATATATATATATATATATATACACATTTGACAAAGGCTGGTCCACCAACCGAAACGTCAGTCAGAATAAACCGTACAAAACCAACGTGCGTCGTACTCTACTTTTCCTTATTCTACCGGGGCCAGCGTTACTACCTTATATATATATATATATATATATATATATATATATATATATATATATATATATATATATATATATATATATATATATATATATATATATATATATATATATATATATATATATATATATATATATATATATATATATATATAACTAAGCACTCGACACTGTCTGAGCGTGTGGGGAATAAGATGAGCATTTGTAGTATTCCCATTAAAGTTAAAGGCACCGCGCAACACTTTCACTTTTCGAGCATGGCTGCCGATTGGTATTCAAGGCTCCCGAGAGCATGCGAGCCACAAATCATAGCGCAGTGTGTGGCCTGCAATTTATAATAAATTCTGAAAGTCCGCTCAAAATTGCTGTCTATTCTCTCGTCAAATCGTGCTATGAACTAAAAAAAAATATTGCGAGATCCAAGTATACCACGCCATTGGCTGATTGCAGAATCCATAGAGCGCTCGGGAGTTACTGGGGCCGCCGCGAAAAGCCGCGATGTGTCCGCGCGTTTCGAACAAAAAAAAAAAAGCGCAATGTCACGGGGTGCGTGTGACGCACCTTCTTCTCCCGTTTAACTACTTTTTCAGCGTGCAACAAATATTTGTAACTGCTCTCGCACTGGACCCATTCCAAAAATGCTTGCGGTGGTGAATTTGAAAACAGATCAAGCGCTAACAAGCAGGGACGTCCCTGTTTGTAAGAGCTGAATATGTTTTTGATTTCCTTATATAAGTTATACCAACACGGCCAACGAATGGCAATGGTGGTGAATTCGTAAGGGCCATAAGCTTTTTGAGTCAATCCATTTCATGGCTACTTGGAAAAGTGTTGCAGGGCCCTTTCGAGGTAGAGTGTCACGTCAGCTCCCCCTCCCTTGCCCCTTAGCGGTTTAGTCCGTATGGGAACTAGCGTAGAAATAGGTGGGTGGCCTCCTCTTTTACAGTCACTCAAGAGTCGATCGGGGCGCAAAATGTTCCCCAAGCATTAACTTAGTAGGGAGGGAGATGCTGCAATGAACTTTCGCCCCCCCCCCCTCCCACCTTCTGATGAATAGCCCTGCTCACGCTTCAAACTTGTCCTTAAATCTCATCCCGTGAAAATACAACTCTATAGAGGCGTCACGTACTGTGAGTAGTTGCGTTGAAAAACAATGTTATATTGCATGGCAGAAGTGTAAAATCACACCAGGCGTCACGCCGTGTCAGTTGCGTAACGAGTGAAGGCCACCCAGTACAGCCTGTTTTTATACGCGCAGTAGACACGGATAGAAAGGTCCTATAAGAAAAGTCCTATAAGAAACGTCCTGAGCAGCAGCCGCAGCTAATGAGGTGAGTGTATATATGCGTTAAGGAATTGCCACACCATGTGAAGTCAGCGTCGTCTTACGGCGAAGGCGTGCGTCTAGAAATGCGTCACACAATAAACAGCAAAGAGAAGGCGCCGACGCATCGCTGTGGCAGGCGCGAGTGATACGAAGAAGCTGCTTCTCGTCTCCAGGCGCCTTCTTCGTCTGTTCATCCAATTTTTTTTCGCTATTTTATTTTTATGCGAGCCAGTGGCCGTGCTGTGTCAACGCGGCCGTTGTGTCAATCACACGGGATTCCATGTATCTCATCCTGAAAGAGTGGGACTGTAATGCTTCATATCTCTTTTATTGCTTTTTTTTCTCTTCCAGTTGCCTGGACCCCAAAATACTTGAAATCTGACACGCGCGGTCATGCTGGGAGGCTCCTGCAACGTGCCACTCCATAATTAACATCGAAGCAGAAAGGCGTGATTCGCCACGAACAGAACGATAGCTACATACGTAGTTCGGGTAGAAATGAGATGGAATTTCGATGCATGTAACCTTGACTTGACTCGTCATTCCCTTGTGCGGGCGCTCAATTATATACCCATAGTGCGAAACCGAGAGGAATGAAGTAGCAGAAATACTTGTAATTTTAACTATGTATACGGTGAAAGCAGTTAATTATTGGCTTTGTATGAGCAGATGTTTGTCGTGCTTGGTTTTTTGTGTTGCTTTCTTTTTTTTTCACCTTTTTTTGCAGGTGTACGCGAAAATCTGTATATTGTGTATTCGTTTCACGTTGATGCTGTATTTATCGATGATGTATAACTCTGCGTGGTACGTTTTTCTTCTTTTTCTTGTATTTTCATATATTTCTTCCTATGTGCAACCTGAGGCCTCATGTGAGAGCGTGGCTGTATTTATGACATAAATAAATAATTTATTTTTACGATGGAATGAAGACAGAGATTCCGAAACTGGCACTTACATAAAAATTAATAAAATTCTTTCTGATAAACATTTGATGACTGCAGAATCACACTGTGGTCCTTCAGAACAATGAAACAAACAAACAGAAAAAAAAGATAGAAGGATAGAAGCTTACGCTACTCGTAAAAAACCATGGGGCTGGTTGACTTGGCGACTTAAAGTGGCCTCCTTGGCTGATTCTTTCCTTGGAGTAGACAAAGCGGAGTCTAACCAGAGCCTGTCACCGACTTTTGCAAGAATATCCATACTCCAGCACCAGAACTCAAGTGCCCTGCTGGCTGTGGCATCACGCAATATTATGGAAATCATGGGCGCTCGTCCATCGCACTTCGCTCGCGCGATGGGTACACGGCGTGGCACCTGCGCAGGCTGTCTCCGTCGGGGAAAACGGCTGATAAAAAACCGAGCGTGATAGGCAGCGGCGCGCAAGATTTTTCGCGGACACTTGCCGCTTTACCTCGAGCTTTAGGAGCTTCGCTCTTACCATAAGGTCGCCCCGTCGTGGTGGTCTAGTGGCTAAGGTACTCGGCTGCTGACCCGCAGGTCGCGGGAGCGAATCCCGGCAGCGGCGGCTGCATTTTCGATGGAGGCGGAAATGCTGTAGGCACGTGTACTCAGATGTGGGCGCACGTTAAAGAACCCCAGGTGGTCGAAATTTCCGGAGCCCTCCACTACGGTGTCTTTCATAATCATATGGTGGTTTTGGGACGTTAAACCCCACATATCAATCAATATCAATCTTAAAGTAAGGTCACATGCTCCGTTGGTCCCACATGCACGCACATCACACCCCCCCCCCCCCTTGGAATGCAGTGCATATTTACTTGAGCTGCCGATTTCTTTTTTTTTTCTTCTCCTACATTTCGGTGGCTCACACCAACCAGACGAAATGAATGAATTAATGCAATGTGCTCTACCGGATGAAAACTAATCAGTTGGTATAATTCAATAGTAGATCATTATAAATGAAAAAATTATAATTAGCGCTACTTAAAACTGACATGGCTAAGTAGTGCATCTTTTCAGACTCCATTGGTAATTTGTTCATAGCGAAGCAAACATCTGTGCGGCTGTTGGAGAACAGGAGCTCCAAACGAAATCTCTTACCATCTTAAGCCTTCATTTCAAAGATGTGGCTCTTGTATGCTTACTCATACGATCATCAGACGCCCCTCAAAAAAAAAAAAAAAATGACGAGCACGAAGACTGAATTTGACAGCGACTACATAGCAAGTAACGGAAAATAGTTTCTTTGTACATAAAAAGGAGACGGGGGAAGCCCACCAAACTTGACCCCTGCAACCAATGTTATAGCAAGTGAACGCGACATCAGAAAGAAAGAAGCTAGCACACCGGAAACTAAACACTGTGGTTTAAGCTTATGAGGACGATTAAGTTCTCTCTCTCTCTCTCACACACACACACACACATATATATATATATATATCATCATCATCATCAGCCTGACTACGTCCACTGCAGGACAAAGGCCTCTCCCATGTTCCGCCAGTTAACCCGGTCCTGTGCTTGCTGCTTCCAATTTATACCCGCAAACTTCTTAATCTCATCTGCCCACCTAACCTTCTGTCTCCCCCTAACCCGCTTCCCTTCTCTGGGAATCCAGTCAGTTACCCTTAATGACCAGCGGTTATCCTGTCTACGCGCTACATGCCCTGCCCATGTCCATTTCTTCTTCTTGATTTCAGCTATGATATCCTTAACCCCCGTTTGTTCCCTAATCCACTCTGCTCTCTTCTTGTCTCTTAAGGTTACACCTACCATTTTTCTTTCCATTGCTCGCTGCGTCGTCCTCAATTTAAGCTGAACCCTCTTTGTAAGTCTCCAGGTTTCTGCTCCGTAGCTAAGTACCGGCAAGATACAGCTGTTATATACCTTCCTCTTGAGGGATAGTGGCAATCTACCTGTCATAATTTGAGAGTGCTTGCCGAATGTGCTCCACCCCATTCTTATTCTTCTAGTTACTTCAATCTCGTGGTTCGGCTCTGCGGTTATTACCTGCCCTAAGTAGACATAGTCTTTTACAACTTCAAGTGCACTATTACCTATCTCGAAGCGCTGCTCTTTGCCGAGGTTGTTGTACATTAATTTTGTTTTCTGCAGATTAATTTTAAGACCCACTTTTCTGCTCTCCTTGTCTAACTCCGTAATCATGAGTTGCAATTTGTCCCCCGAGTTACTCAGCAATGCAATGTCATCGGCGAAGCGCAGGTTGCTAAGGTATTCTCCATTGACTCTTATCCCTAACTGTTCCCATTCTAGGCTTCTGAAAACCTCCTGTAAGCACGCGGTAAACAGCATTGGGGAAATTGTGTCCCCCTGCCTTACACCCTTCTTGATTGGTATTCTGTTGCTTTCTCTATGAAGCACTATGGTAGCAGTTGATCCCCTGTAGATTTCTTCCAGAATGTTTATATATACTTCATCTACGCCCTGATTCCGCAGTGTTTGCATGACGGCTGATATTTCTACTGAATCAAACGCCTTCTCGTAATCTATGAAGGCTATGTATAGTGGTTGGTTATACTCTGAGCATTTCTCTATTACCTGATTGATAGTATGAATGTGGTCAATTGTTGAGTAGCCTGTTCGAAATCCTGCTTGTTCCTTTGGTTGATTGAATTCTAATGTTTTCTTTACTCTGTTAGCAATTACCTTTGTAAATAGCTTGTATACTACAGAGAGCAAGCTGATCGGCCTGTAATTCTTCAAGTCCTTGTCATCTCCTTTCTTATGTATTAAGATGATGTTAGCGTTCTTCCAAGACTCTGGTACTCTTCCCGCCAGGAGACACCTCGTAAACAGGGTGGCTAGTTTTTCTAACACAATCTGTCCTCCATCTTTCAGCAGATCTGATGTTACCTGATCCTCACCAGCAGCTTTGCCCCTTTGCATGCTCTCCAAAGCTTTTCTGACTTCTTCTATCATTACTGGTGGGGTGTAATCTGGGTTACTGCTAGTTCTTATAGTATTAAGGTCGTGGTTGTCTCGGCTACTGTACAGATCCCTGTAAAACTCCTCCGCTATCTTAACTATCCTATCCATATTGGTAGTTATTTTGCCTTCTTTGTCCCTTAGTGCATACATCCGACTTTTGTCTATCCCAAGTTTCCTCTTTAATGCTTTGACACTTCCTCCGTTTTTCAGAGCGTGTTCAATTCTCTCCATGTTATACCTTCTTACATCGCATACTTTACGTCTATTAATCAACTTCGAAAGCTCTGCCAGTTCTATTTTGTCTGTTGTACTTGACACTTTCATGATTTGACGCTTCTTAATTAGGTTCTTCGTTTCCTGTGAAAGCTTGCCAGTGTCCTGTCTAACTACCCTGCCTCCCACTTCCACTGCACACTCCATAATGATACTCGTCAGATTATCATTCATTGTATCTACGCTAAGGTTGGTTTCCTCACTGAGAGCCGAGTACCTGTTCTGCAGTGACACTCTGAATTCCTGTACTTTCCCTCTCAGTGCTAGCTGATTGATTGGCTTCTTGCGTATCAAGTTCTGTCGTTCCTTCTTCAAGTCTAGGCGAATTCGAGACCGTACCATTCTATGGTCACTGCATCGTACCTTGCCAATCACTTCCACATCCTGCACGATTCCAGGGTGTGCACTCATTATAAAGTCTATTTCGTTCTTATTTTCGCCATTAGGGCTCCTCCATGTCCACTTGCGGTTTTCTCGTTTGCGGTAGAAGGTATTCAAAATCCGTAAATTATTGCGTTCTGCGAATTCTACTAGTAGCTCTCCTCTGGCGTTTCTAGTACCGATGCCATAATCTCCTACTGCCTGGTCTCCAGCCTGCTTCTTCCCTACCTTTGCATTAAAGTCGCCCATCACTATAGTATACTGTGTTTTTACCTTACTCATTGCCGATTCCACGTCTTCATTGAAGCTTTCAACTGAAGCGTCATCATGGCTGGATGTAGGCGCGTAAGCCTGTACTACCTTCATCTTGTATCTTTTATTCAGTTTAATTACGATACCTACCACCCTTTCATTAATGCTATAGTATTCCTCTATGTTGCCAGCTATGTTTCTGTGAATGAGGAACCCCACTCCCAGTTCTCTTCTGTCTGCCAAGCCCCTGTAGCAAAAGACGTGCCCATTCTGTAGCACCGTATAGGCCTCATCTGTCCTCCTAACCTCACTGAGCCCTATTATATCCCATTTAACACCCTCTAGCTCCTCGAATAGTACAGCTAGACTTCCCTCACTAGATAAGGTTCTAGCGTTAAACGTTGCCAAGTTCAGGTTCCAATGGCGGCCTGTCCGGATCCAGAGATTCTTAGCACCCTCTGCTGCGTTGCAGATTTGACCGCCGCCGTGGTCAGTTGCTTCGCAGCTGCTGGGGACTGAGGGCCGTGAGTTATTTGACGTAATCATGTGGTAGGTAGTGGCCAGATACTGCACCAGGGTGGCCAATCCTTCTCTGGTGAGGGAGTGCGTTCTCGGCGGTGTTTGCCGGTGAGGCCGCACCCCAGGCCTCTTAATGCAGTTCCATCAACACGCGGATTTTTTTTTTTTAATCCGGTTGGGAACTGCGCGGTACCGGGATTTGAACCACGGACCTCTTGCATGCGAGGCGGATGCTCTAACCACTACGCCATCGCCGCACGTCATATATATATATATATATATATATATATATATATATATATATATTATGTGCGTGTATTCTTGGGCCTTCACAAACAAGCTGGTGGAATTTCAGTGCATCCTGACGAGCATTAAGTTTAGAACTGAACATCATGCATAAACACGCAAGCACATTGAGAGCCGGGAAACACGCTTACAGGAGCCGCAAGCGTCTGCATTCCAGCGAATCGTCTGATACTCTGGTGAGCTGTGCTTGAAATCGGGCCATTTATACTTTACTCATGTTTACATTTAAGTTGAAGTATTTACAACGGCTGCAATTTGGGGTGGAAGACGATGGTGCCGCTTCATGCCGCACTTCACGTCACACACAAAGCAAAATCGCCATCACCTGTGGTGGACGGCGCTTATATAGCAGTCGACTTTCAGGGGTCGTTTCGAACTAAAATATTCCTGTACAGTACAGCTTTCATATATGTATAGGCAAAATAAATCCTATATATTTGTAATTTGTAGTTGAAAACCGCACACTATTGCGTAGCCGTGTCATAGCCCCTTTGAAGAACACTGCTTGATTTGTCTTGAAAAAAAAAATCATTACAATGCATTAGGTACAGATATCTTAAATAATATATTGATTATAAGGATAACCACTTCCTATAGCTGTCATCACGTCCTCATGAAGATTTTCGGAAATCCGGTAGTTTCTGTTTTCAGACGGAACTGTGGTGCGTCAATGTGGCTGTGTTGCTCACTGAACTACTACTACTACTACTGATGATGATGATGACGATAATGATGGCAACTATGCTTGGTCAGTGTGTGAAACCTAATACGGGTGAAGGCCAGGAAGCCAGCGTTTACAGAGAGCAGTAGAGGAAAAAAATATATAAGAACAACAAATCTAATTAAAACAGTTTAACCACACTCTCAAAAAAAGATCCTTGAGAGTCCTTGAGATGGTGGCACGAACACCTACTCGCACATAGCCTCCAGGTCTCCGGGCTCCACGAGCACCCTGCCCCTGGAGAGGAACGCTCTGTTGAGCAGGAACGCCTCGACCAGAGGGAAGTCGCGCTCCAGGAAGATGTTGAAGCACACGTCGTAATCTTGCAGTCCGGGCAGGCAGCACCACGCATACGGCGCCAGGCCTGCATCAGCATCGAGCGTTTACACGTTATTGGCAACGAGAAATGATCGAAACGAATTCCACAGTGTCGTAAACAGTGGCAGGGCCTATATACACAGCAATGCGAAGCGTGGTTCCGAATATGTCTCTATAATATAGTTAAACGTGGATAAAGCCATGAAAACGTAATGCACTTTCTATAGATTGTTTGATTTTGACTCTCACCTTATTCAGTGAACACTGAGCATCAAATATTGATGCTCCACGATAAGACACGAATCAACACTTCGGCGAAATCGAGGTCTATGTTCGCTGGTTGGTTTCTGTCATTTAACGCTCCAAAGCGAATGAGCTATATGCACGTCGTTGTGGAGAGCTTCACTGTCCAGGAGAAGGGGGAATACCGCCATCCATAGTTTTGACCGCGTATATAAGCACGCGAATGAAAATATATGCAGTGTCGATAAACCGCACAAAACAGAAAACAAAAACGGATATGTCTTGCTTCAGGTGGTTTCGATCATTTTGTGTTACTTAAGGTGGATTGACATCACCCGATACACAGGCCCCCTGCATTTCGCCTCCATCAAAATGCCAAGATCGAGGTATAGAGGATGAGCCGGAAAAAAAAAAACAAACATCACAGCATTTCCACGGAGTGAATGATGACGAGTAAGGAGCAGCGTCCATCCATCCGTCCGTCCATCTGTGCGTCCACCTTCGTGCCTGCGTTTGTCCGTCCGTCAGTGCATCCGTCCGTCCATGCATCCGCCCGCCCGCCCACTTACCCGCCCACCTGCCTGCCTGCTAGGAGAGACCAACCCACGACTTTAGGTGCTTCACCCCTAAAAACCGAATAAATTCTACCCAATCATGGCTGATATTTTCTCGGGGGTGAACAAACAAACAAACAAACAAACAAACAAACAAACAAACAAACAAACAAACAAACAAACAAACAAACAAACAAACAAACAAACAAACAAACAAACAAACAAACAAACAAACAAACAAACAAACAAACAAACAAACAAACAAACAAACTTCTTTTATTCATCGCAGTTTTTTTTTTTCGTGTTTATTCAATACTATTGCCATGTTTAGGGGCCAGCCATGGCTCTAACGTAGCCTACCTTTCATTGTTGTTTTTTTCACACACAAAAAGAGCGTAACAATGCAAAGCAATAAATTTCGAAGTTAGAAAGAGTGTCCCTAATTTTTAAGGTAAAATGCAAAAGTAAGACGGTCACTTTCACGAAAGGACACTGACGAAGAGGGGAAAAAAAAAGTTTCCCAGCGACAACATATCGCCACCTCCACACTTCCTCTTTGCGTGCTGTGTTCCCGTCGACTAATAACACCGAGGGGGTGGTGCTCGACTTGTGTTTCCTCTTCCGGTAAGGGCGAAAGAACAGCACAGCTGCACGCTCATACGCTTTGCCCGACAGTAGTCGGTGATTCGAGAGTAATTGCCTCGAGGTTATAGCATTTGATTCAGGGATTACGTTGTATGAGTGTGTTTCGCGCAAGTATGAAATGGACAGATAAGTCAAGCCAAGCAAAGCATAGATGACATTATTTATGGTTTATTGCCGGTAGGGTATCGATTGAGGTTAAATACGAAAAAATGGACAGAAAAACACGGGGTGCAATTCGCGCCCCCCATTGTAGCTCAAATCTAACGGACGCACAATTCGAAGGTTGTAAATCACATCTACCGAAATTGCCCGGACACTTTAATTGCTCAATAAGGTTGATAACTGGGCTAGTTAGTGAGAAATCATTTTACTGTAGAGTTAAGTAGCGCAGTTTTAACATGGACAAGAGGGGTAAGAAGTACACGACACTCGCTCATGTCCTTCTTATTCCTCTTGTTCATGTTAAAAACTGCGCTACCTAACTTTACAGTAAAATGACTTTAATTGTTTTCGGTTTAGATGATAATCATTACAATGCATCAAAAAATTTCCAATTATGATCCCTATGCTTTTTTTAATTTCGTTTGTCTAGTGGTCTCATTGTTTGTGTATAGTAGAGACAACGAGCCCTTCAGAGTATTCCCCTTTTTTCCAACAATAATGATATCTGGGGTTTAATGTCCAAAAAATCAGGACGTGATTACGCAAGACGCCGCAGCTGAGGGCTCCGGAAATTTCGACCACATGATGTTCTGTAATGTGCACTGACATGGCACAGTACACTATTCTCTACCATTTCGCCTTCATCGAGATGCGACCGCCGTGGCCGGGCCCATCAAACTGACGACTTCGGTGTCAGCAGCAGAGCGACGACCCCACCACGGCAGCCAATTCCCCTTCTTTCGTATTTTGTGCTATAAATGCGATGACAGAGTGATCGGTGAACCATTCGGATTATCGTGGGTACAGATTACTCCTTAAGATGTCGCGAAAACGTGAAAAATTTCAATCCGATAACGCATTCTTTGAAATCTCGGTTTTCTGCAATTTCGCGGTGATAGGGGCGTTATTGAAATAGAAAATGTAGGCAAAAATTCTCTTGTTTTTCTTTCTAACTTCGAACCGGAGCCGTGGCATCGTTGCGTCAACGTGACGTGCTAAACTGAAAAGTAAACTTCCCGTGTTGGTCGTCGTAGTTTAGTAAAAGTTCACTCACGTAAGAGATAATTTAGTGAATATCTGCTGATTACTAAGCCGCTGCGGATACCCTAAAAAAATCACATGATGTCATTCAGAGCGACAACTGCTAAAGTGCATTGCCAGCCACTTTTTTTTTGCGACGCATGTTGTCACGGTAATTAAGGGCGTAATTCTTAGTTTTGTGCAAAAGCTATTAATTAATACCAATGAAAGTATATTTCCTTTACTGCCTGCTAAAGGTAAGCAGTTACCTTGTTACCATTCCAACGAACAAACAAACAAACAAACAAACAAACAAACAAACAAACAAACAAACAAACAAACAAACAAACAAACAAACAAACAAACAAACAAACAAACAAACAAACAAACAAACAAACATGGTTGATTGGTGCTTCGATCGTTCTCCTTATGAGTTCAACATCCAAGTCATGACTGCTGTCTCCATTGTTTATTTTTTGTTTTGTTTTAGTAGGTCATGTACTACGCATTCGGATTACTTCAATGCGCGTAAACTCTCAGGAGTTCTGAGACCTATTGTTGCGTGGTTTTCACTGACGTTAACAGTGGATAGTGAGATACACTCTGAAAGGCGTCCGGGAGGAAGGTGAAGAAGTTCAGTGGTATTGCCATGTACTTAAAAACATAATTAAAAACAACAGACAGTGTTACTATTTTAACCCTTGGAAAGGGATCTGCCACGGTGGTGGAGCGGTCACGGCGCTCGGCTGCTGACACGAAGGTCGAGGGCTCGATCCCAGCCATGGTACTCGCATTTCAATGGAGGCGAAACACTATAGGCCTATTTAGAATACAAGGTCAGTTTGACCATCTGGTGTTCGAACAGATGGTCAACATTTCCGGAACCCCCCCTACGGCGTCCCTTATAATCATATCGTGGATTTGGGACGTGAAATCACTGCTGTTAATGTTAACCCTTTCAAATATTTGGCAGCCAAAATGCGGAGATGAAAACTTGGAGTAGTGTCATCGTGTTTTCATGCATTTCGTTGTAGGTCGCTTTGAAATTTTCTTTTAGGGGTGAAGCTCCTAAAGCCGTGGCTTGGTCCATCCCTTGTAGGTGACCGCCTAGTTCTTTGACTCACTCAGCAGACAGACGAACGAACGCTTCAACCCACTCATCATCATTCACTCCGTGAATATGCTGTGAATTTTTTTTCTTCGTTTCGATGGTCAAGTTCGCGACCCTTCGAAAAAAAAAGAACAATGTGTCCCAGTGTAAGTGTACTAGAATTGGTGACTACACCCGTGTCATTCCCCTATCGATTCGAGTCGTTCCCCGAACGAGAGTTCGGCATCCTGAAGGGCGAGCGAACAACCCGAAATGAACTGGGCGCAGAGCCAGGGTTTACGTCACGCCTTATTGATCCGTGCTTTCACGAAAACTAGGAAAGCGCCACCACGTGCGATCTCCGCGTGCTTACCCTGCCGGTACGAGCCAGCGTTAAAACAAAGAGAGAGAAAACAAGGCGAAAGGCGGGGAGGTTAACAAGGGCTGAGCCTCGGCGCGCTAACCTGCGCTGGAGAAGGGGAGAGGAGGAAGAAAATGCATAGAGGAGGAAAAAATGTCACTGACTGGGCCAACGCGTAACAGTTTCAAATCACAAACAATGAAACAGACTGATGTCCTTGAGGAAACGCAACAGTGGTTTCGTTGCCTTCCTGAACTCGGCTCTCGTCTCCACGGAGCGCGAAAGCAGCTTTCTCTTCTATTGTTGTATGAGAAGTACAGGGAGCATAACCATATATACTGATGCTTCTACTAAAGTAGATGGGTCTGCAGGGTCGGTGTTATTTCCTGCGACCGCGACAACGACGAAGATTCGGTTATCCCACCGGACGTCATCGACAGCTGCGGAACTTGCTGTTCTACGTCACGCAGTGAAAGTCATTAAACACCAAGAAGCCAAGAAATGGAGCGTGTTCACGGACTCCAAGGCAGCACTACAGTGTTTGATATTCAAACTACGCCGGGGACCTCATGAACAACTAGTGCTGGAAATAAGAGAGCTGCTTCACCACCTCTTCAAAGAAGGACACAGAATCACGTTTCAGTGCCTTCCAAGTCACTGCGGCATATTGGGCAACAAACATGCCGATGCAGCTGCTCGATCAGCACACGAAGATGGTGAAAAAGAATCTATACCATTTTCAAGGACTAATGCTGCAATGACAATCCGAAAAATCGCTAACGCAGAATTAAAATCCCTGTGGAACGCCGAGTGCTTACGGCACACGCGACTGCATAGACTGGACACGTCTCGTCGACTCCGGCCTCCGTCTGGACTCTCTCGACTCGAGACAACGGTGCTTTGCCGACTATGGCTTGGTGTCGCCTTCACCCAAGCTTCACCAAGGAAGACAGTGCTGCTTGCGGTCATTGCAACAGCGATGAAACTATAGAGCACGTTCTCTGTCACTGCCCTCGTTACAGCGTGCAAAGACGGCAACTAGCTGCTGCGTTAGCTCGCCTTGACGACAGACCTTTGTCTGAACAGTCAGTGCTTGAAAGGCGACATGATTTGCGTGCTCACAGAAAATCAGTGAAGGCCTTACTGAACTTTTTTGCGTGGCAGTGGCCTATTGTATAGACTATAGCACCCCAGCCTCCCCCCCCCCCCCATTTTTTGTGCGCGTCTATTTCCCTCTTCACTTTCTTTCCCATCTTTCTTCCCCATACACCCTTCCCCTAGTGCAGGGTAGCAAAACAGATGCTCCATTTTCTGGTTAACCTCCCTGCCTTCCCCTCATTTTAATCTCTGTTTCTCTCTCTCTTGATACATGATATTAAAGAAAGGCACAATAGTTTTCAAAGAAAATACATGAAGTGAGAATTACAATGCGTACAGATAGAACAATAAGGCCAAGAAAATGAACTAGAACACAACAAAATTTGAGAGCAAATAGTAACTGCAAATTGCAAGACTACAAGGACAAGCTGATTAAATAAAAAAGTAAAAACACGGACAAAATATTTCATTTAAAATTTGAAGTTTTCGTCACCCAGCATCTGCAAGCCAATACGATTAGTTCGCTGGGTTTGCCAAGTCTGCGCCTTGCATGCAGCCGAAATCGCGAAATTGTTGTAGTCCCTGGCTTACAATGCAGTTATTGTTGTTTACCTGTACCACGTGCAACTGAAAGATCTGCGGCGAGTACGTTGGTGTCTCCCCGTGACGTCAGACTGTGTTTGCATCTTTCTGCGAAGCCACCCTCTCGATACTGAAAGCAAAAGTGCTTTTTCAAGGTAAAGGTATTGAAGATATATTCGATGCATTACCAGACACTACGATAGTTTATTTAGGGTTCTCGACACCAGTGCTTTCCATTCTTTATTTAGGGCTCTCAACACCAGTACTTTCCTTTAAAACAAAAACCAGAAAAAAATATATATACTTTAAAATTCGATTCGCAACTCCATTGATCAGACTTGCTGCGAGACCTCCGGGACGTTCTCCTGCCCCCCCCCCCCCCCGCCTTTTTAAAATTTCTTCTCAATTGATAATACCAAACATCCTCGTTTGAGACACAAACATAGGAAAACTTCACAAGCGCATTACTATGTATTAACACAATGGGTTGGAATTAGTTGGAATTTTCAACTATGAATACAGAAATGATGTTATCTTCGAGACCTGACACCAGCGAAAAAAAAAAAAGATTGCGTGAATTTGCATCGTAGTATCCAGTGGTGTGAAAGTTAATGCAAGTGTTGACTCAAAGATTCAACATCAAAAGTCACGATTGCTGCGAAGACTATTAGACACCTTACGCTTCTCATAAGAAGAAAACATTTAATTTATTTGTCAATCGCGATTTAGATTGACGGTGCATAACTTCAAGACGTCTCAATCATTCCGCAGTACATCACCATGGTGTGTCACGCAATGAGATATTTGTACTTCAAACTTCAAAATACCAGACATTTAATGTCCTATAATCATGTTCTCAAGAATACAAATTTTAGGTAATGAAAAATATAAGGAATCAGCATTTCTTTACTTATGCTTCAAATATGAATGAGTTAATGAACAACAAGTGATTATATGTCGGGGTTTACTTCTCAAAACAACGAAAAGATTTTGAGGTACGCCGTAGTGAATAAAATTTCAACCAACTGGCGTTCTTTGACGCGCATTGAAATCGCACGGGCCGCTGCCATTGATCTTCCCTCCATCGAAATGCGACCGCCGGGATCGCACCCGCGACCTTCGGGTCAGCAGCGGAGCGCCATAAGCCATGCTCTACCGTGGCGGACAATGGATAACAGACAACCCGTACAAACATGCGTGCTGTCAAAGTCATATTTGTATTAGCAGATACATGCTTTTTGTTTCGTCAAATGGAGCCGAGTGTGACTTCCAACATTAGATAAAATATCGACATAAGGTAGAGTTAAACATATAAAGAAACATTCAGAGTAAGCAAGGTTCAGGGCTTCTTTGAAGCAGGTTGACCGATAAGCTGTAAAACAAATAGCGCACCGACGTAGCGGAAACAGGAAGGATGCACTTGAACAACAATAAAAGAATGAAAAAAAGCAACAAACGAAGTAGTGGGCGACAACGTCACGGCGGCTTCCCCCGAACTGCAGCGCCTGACAGTTTATTCATCAAGCACATGACTGCCACGAGAGCGTCTATTGCTTGACAAGCAAGGTGTATGACAGAGCTGATTAATATTCTCCAATGGTGTGCGCAGCGCAGAAAGTGACGCGGAGACAAACGACCGACGAGGTCTGGCGCTGACTTCCAAATAAATTTTGTCGTAAAGACATAAGACAAAGTAACATCATTCGTCTGATCCCACTACACTCGTTTATGCGTGATATTAAGCTTAAAATAGAAAAAAAAACACCGCAAGAAATAAATTAAGCAGGATAAGGACGAATTTTGCACATGCTGATGAATCCAGGTAATCTATTTCTTTTTCTATCTAGGCAATGGAAGGTTTACTAATGAAGTCGCCTCTTGCGATTTCCACGGTTTCAATATTTATACGCGGTTTATGCTATTCATTCCCGAATAAAACTGTTGTCTTATCTAATACCGAAACATATCCGCGTTCACAGGAATGCTCGAGCAGGAATTCTCGGGAAGGGTGACTTACCGGAAAGGACAGCCGCCGTGAGGAGAAGCCCAACGGCTTGTGAAGCATTGCTGGGACGCATCGCTGCCCATAGTGTACGCGTTGTCATTTCATCTTACAGCTGCACGTCTCGACCGGGACACGAGAGGTCAGCTTCTCGGGGTGCACCGCTCACGCCGAGCCGGCAGGCATGTTCGGTCAGGCAGCCACGATGTCGGCAACGTGGTTGCGCGTGGTATGCAGATCGAAAGCGTCGGCGACGGCGTACGACGACGACGGAGGGATTGCCCCATACCGTCTGTTTCGCCCCCTTCCGTTCTGGGAGATGGAGGCTGATGGGTGAGGGAAACGCCCCCAAAAAAGAGTAGAGCGCAGGAGAGGGCCACCACCGAGCAACAAGAGCCGATGGCGGTCGGAGAGAGAAGTGAGCGTAGCGGAAGTGAGAGCAGATATGACTTCCGGCACTCTAGCGTGTCGCCTTACGAGTGGCGGGAGAGTCAAAGCACGTAGCAACCCGGATGACTCGTATAGAAGCCTTTCGCGTGCTTCTGCACTGGCCTTGAATACGTACTGCGTTAACAGCGGCTTTAACAGCACATGGAAGTAGCTGTAGTGTTTTGCTACAGGCGTGTTCGTAATGTATTACGGTACTCCGCCTTACCGACTCCAGCAACACAATTCGGCTATCCACCATTTTTAAAGGGACCAGTGCCCACTAAACAAACTATCGTGAAGTTTTCTTGCGAGAAAATGCGTGTGTGGGGAGGACGGAGGGAGGAGTAGGGCCGTTGTAGTGCTGTTGTACATAGACTGCATGTTGTTGAGGTGAGTCTGCACGCAGAGGTTTGACAGCTTTGATTGCACGTAAAAAATTGGAAAGGAAAATATTAGAAAAAAAACGATCATTATAGACTTTAGATATATCTTCCACGTTTATCGTCATCCTATTGCGCTTTCCTTCTAAGCCCCTCCCACCCCTAACCACGTTTTCTTTGCACCATCCTTATATTTTTAAGCTGACCAGTACTCGAGCATAACTGATGAAATGTGCTAGCATGCTACAAAGACAAAAAAAACAAACAAACCATTCATGCAAACCAGAGGACATCTATCATTGATGCATGCATGCAAGCATGTATGCGACAGACATTAACATGCGACATTGACAAACTTGAATTTGTACAAAGGAGGACTGCTTGTTTCATTTGTCATCGCCATGATCGCAATTCATAACCCTCATCAACAAAAAGTCTTTTGAAACTGTCTCTCCTAGGCAACAGACGGGATACCGATTCCTTGAAGCTCTTGCATTCATTTCTTCATTTATCTTGTCGACTATCTTCAGATGATTAGATATCCTATGCCCATACTGTTTCAACACGACGTTTCCCCAGCGTCATCTGTCCCTGTATTTCTGCCCGCGTCTAAGTAGTGCGCTCTCATTTCAAAGCAATCGTGTATCATTAACTCGCCCAATCAAGCATATCGTCATCTTAAAGCCATTCTTTACACACAGTAGCATTCTTAAGTACTGTTATATTCTCAAAGTTATGCAAATATAGAACGATGTACCGGGTACTGCTCGTGAAGTGGCGCTGTCAGATTTTGTCGAAGCACTGTTACGAGTACAATGCTGTTTCTTGCTTTGGTTTTAGGCTTACTGTTACGTCAGCCTTGTGAAATGTGTATTTGTTTATGAAAATGTTCTGCATTTCTGCAATAGCCCTCCCTAGGGCTGCAGTATGTGGAAATCTCGTGCTGCGATGTAAGATTTTTTGAATGAATAAAAAAATTGAATCTTGAATTTAGAAAGTGAATAAATAAATAGCGTTGGTTATTTTAATGCGCACCATTGCCCGAGCATGGTCACAAGCTAAGTTTTTTCAGTGGCAAAAACGAGTCGTCTTTCCTGTGGTGTTCGCTCAGTGTTCGTTCCGTTTCTCCGTTGTCTTCAGTGTGGAGTTGGAGACGCGGCTCTTTTTCAAAGTACATTGAAATCGTTATTGCACAGTAGGCGAGTTGCTTCGCCCGGTGCTGAGGAGATCAGTCAAGTTTTGACGCATTTACTGCGATCCCATCATGGCAGTACCGTTTTAGGAGCGAAGCACCTCAACGTTTCGGCTTGTCGGCGTCTAACGTGTACTAACCGTGTGTCATTTCGTCACGGTCCATCATCAACGGGCACACGCCACAAAAATTGGATAAATCCCATTTCTCGCCACCGCTTCACTTAAAAGGAACAAGTCAGACAAACAACCGACAATGTGAGCAGATCTGAAACACCCTTTCCCACCTGAAGGAGAGCAAGCTGCATTGCAACGCTGTTTTTCGACGACGTTAGGCGAGCACTTTTTCCTACATACCCGATGTGGCACCACCTTTTTTGAGGAATCCTTCACACGAGTTTCACATTGGGGGAGCTGAGGCAACCTTCTCTATACATGATCCACAGTTTCTCTCCTTTTGGCGTCTTGTGATAATCTGCAGGAACAGAGCTTTTTGGCTCGGCAATCCGATGCAAGTCCATGACACTTCTTGAACTACCTGCCGCGACTCAGCGTCCATCTGAATAATTGCTAGGGTTTCACGTCCCAAAACCACAATATGATTATGAAGCACGCCGTTTTTAAAAGCTCCGTACATTTCGACCATCACAATATAATTACACGAACCTTTAGAATTTTCGCCTCCATCGAAAATGCTGCCGCCACGTCTGCGATTCGATCCCGCGACTTTTAGGTAAGCAGTCGAACACTGTGATTCCAAGACCACCACGGCGGGTATCAGCGATCATCTTGTTGGCGCATGAGATTGGTCTACACGCATGGCGGTAAAGAGAAGCGGACAAGTCACGATCACGCATGCTGTCAATCTTAAGTTGCAGTTGACGAAAGGTATAAAGTTCGAGGATAAATACCAACAAGAACAATGTTTCCACACAGCACTGACCTTGAAGCAATAAATATAAAAAAGAATGAAACAAAATGACCGAATACTTTCAGAACCATAATTCAGGAGTCTTATGCGTACATTTTAATATCTGAAAACTTAAACCGAAGTTCTGCAGTGCCACACTAAGAGCCTTGTTTAGGATTTTCTTGTTGATCCACTGCTATATTCCACTGTTGATCCACTGTTGATCCACTGCTATTCCAGAGTCTGTCGGAATTGCTGTCGACGAAACGCGTCATTGCATGCGAGGGCACAAGAACAATTCAAGAATTGTGCATGGGTGCATACAACCAGCCCTCTACAAACAGCCCTCGCATTTTCTTTTTCGCTATTATTTTTCATTCGCGTTCGTCTATCAGTTGCGTTTTCTGTTGAGTTTATTTTTCTTGCTTTTTTATTTTCGTAATTCCTTTCAATAAGGACCACCTCTGGGTCACAATGAAGGAAACTCAGTGTTTGTGGGTTCAAAGACATATATGCTTAAAACGTTTACTTACTTAAAGAAGGCGATTTAAACTGTGAATTCGCATGTTTTTTTCTATTCATGAGTGCATTTTTACTAATCTTGTTATCAGTGCAAAGCAGTAGCCAGCGTTCTATAAAATCACCGGAATCTCCTAAACAATGCGCAACAAAACAAACAAAAGATTCATTACGGCATTTCGGAAAGCAAGCGAACATGCTCCTGCCACTCCCTGTCGGCTCACGTTTTGCAGAGCATTCGGAGGGATTTTAAACTCGGTGAGACAGCACAGAGCTTTGCCCGCCACTTCCCGCCACGTCTGACCACATTACCATCTGTGTAATCAGGCAATGGCACTCGACCCGACGTTTCGCTCCTTATCGGTGCACCCGCTGTCAAGATGGCTATAGCGTTACCCGCGATATGACAGCAGTAGCATCTTTGAGACACTTGATACGACGTTACAATATAACGAAAACCAGAGGATGAGAAAAAGAGACCGACAGCTATTTTTATACTTTCAGCCAGGGAAGTTTGTTGGCGAAAACCATCTAGTGTGGCTATTTCAACATAAGACCGAAAAATTTGTAAACAGGGGGTGGGCTGGAGCCGCCTGCAGCACAATTCCTGTACGGAGCCTCTGTACAACCTGTACAGAGCCCACTCCAGCCCACCCCTTGTACCGAGTCCCTGCACAACCTCTACTGAGCCGACTCCAGCACACCACCCAGTCGGCTCCAACACATTCTCCCGTTTGCCCCCTGTTTGCAATTTTTTCATCGCAAGCTTCCATATTACCCTGATGTTTTATTTTGTATTTCACCAAATGTAGTTTATATAACGCGAATGCCACTTTTCATTTTTTTTTTCTCCCGCGAGCATCACTCACGCGCCACGAAGCGGGAGGTCACGTGAGTTTAGACCGTGTCTTAGAGACGGCGGACAGAGAAACCTTGATTCAAAAAGCGCGTGGGAGGGGATGGTGTCACGTGTATTTTTGTACAACCCGTAGCTTACCCCTCAAGGTCACACGTACATGAAACGTACAAGGCCTTCGCCTTAAAACAGATCGACATTCGTCTTTTGGGAAAGTTTACATACCCAACTAGACAGAGATCTGTCGATGTTCACATTAACATTTGCCTTTTCCATTCACCGACAAGTGTTCCAACGTTCGACACGCGAACTTCCTCTTTTGAAAGAACAAGATGGTCTTAGTAAGAATTAACCATCGAGAGTCTATCCGGCAACCTTGGTGCAGTCTGGCTGGTTCATACTATTTGAATTAAAAACCACACGCAAGGCCGCCTTATCAGCAGAAAGCATCACCAAGAAGGGTGTATCGGGTGCATCAGAAAAAAGCTTGACCGCTTTCACTGTTTTCCGCTCTCTTTCACGGAGAAAGCGCATCGATTCGCGTGGCCTGCAGAGCCACCGAGTTTAGAAATTCGTCGAAGCGAGCGCCGCACGACTGCCCGACATTCGGGGGATCTCTGCTGTTGCCCGACGACCATCGACCGTTACGCTGTTGACCCGACTGATTGTTTGAATGCTGCCGATGGCGAGAAGAATATGACTCCATTTATCTCGGGACGCGCCGAGAATCCCCACCGTCATTAGCCACCGATTGGTGGACGAGATAATGTGCACCGTCTGGGAACACGATACCGTACCTTCGCAGTCTGTATGTCTTACGTTGGCGAAGGTTGCCTTTCTTTATAAATGGAAAACGAGCACGTGTTGCTCGATAGCCGACGACAGGCGCGTGGAGGGAGCCGGCACAAGGGCGACACTTACAGTGCAGAGAAAACGAGGCCTGAATCGTATGTCGTGACATCAGAGTTTAAGAAGATCTTTGAGCGAGCACCAAGCATCTGACGTGCGTTGTGCCTCGTAAAAATTTCTCG